TACCCATCAAATTGTGTGACCCTGTGATTCCTCCCTTGCTCATCTTCTCTCTGCTCCTACCCTCCCCACAGTGGATCCTCATACCTGTTTTACTAGTTATCTTTCTATTTCTACAATAATGATCTTATACAGTAGTTGTCCTTTGGAGACTGAGTTCACTTAGCATAATGCTCTCCAGTCCCTCTCAAATTTTGTTGTAATTTTCAAAATCATTGCTCCTGCATGCTGTGTAGAATTCCACTGGTGAATGCATCACAATTTCTCAATCCATTTGATTGTGGTTGGACGTTTGGGCTGTTTCCATGTTCTTGTGATGGTGACTAACACTGCTATGAGCATGGTATAAAACTCTCCATTCGTGTATCTCATTTCTAATTTTCTCGGGATATATTCCAAGCAGTGAAATAGCTGAGGTATATGAAATTTTTATATTCACCATTTTGGCAAAACGCCAAACTGCTTTCCAGAGTTATTGTACCATTTTATAATCCCACCATCAGTGTGTAAGAGTTCCTGTTTCTCCTCATCCTCTCCAACACTTATGACTTGTTGTCCTGTTAAACTTTGCCACTGCTACTGGGGTAAGATGGTATCTCATTGTGGTTTTGATTTGCATCTCTCTTATTGACAGTGATTTGAGTGTTTCTTCATGTGTCTGTTGGCCATCAGAATGTCTTCCTCTGTGAAGTCTTTCCATGACTTTTGCCCATTTTGTAATTGAGTTATCAGTTTTTTTCTTCTGGCGACCCTTTAGGAGTCTGTAAACTTTTGTTATGAGATGTTTGAGATGGTATTTCCAAATGTGTTTTTCCCCAGTCAGAGAGTTTTCTCTTCACTCCATTGGAAACTGATTTTGATGTGCAAAGGGATTTAATCTTTAGAAGATCCCATTCATCAGTTTTATCCTCTCCTGCTTGTATATTTCTAGCTGTATATGTCAGCCTTTTTATACCAAGAGTTAGGCCTTCTAAGTTTGGTTCCACTTTGTCTATTATGGTCTTTAAGATCTGGGCTTTACCTGGAACCATTTCTTGAAGAGACTTTTTCTACCCCGTTGCACAGTCTTATCAGCTTTATTGAATGTGGATCATGTTGTTGTTGTTGTGTCAAGTCAACTGAGACTCATTGTAACCCTATGAACGATGAATCTGAAACCTGCCCTGTTTTGTGCCATCCTCATCATCGCCTTAGTGAAGCAGAGATAGCACAGGCCCAAAAGGCCCAGAAACCAGGCCACGACAACTCACAGGGGCTCCTTCCGTGAGGTGGGAAGTTGACCGTAAATATATTAATTTTTTACTTTCAGTTCTATTCCTTTATCCTGTATGTCTATATTAATACCAATACAAGGCTATTTTAATTACTGTAGCTTTGTGGTGTGTTTTGAAATCAGGAAATGTGAGTCTTCCTACTTTACTCTTCTTTCTTAACACTGAATGCTATTTGAGGTCCATTGACCTTCCATATGACTTTCCCATTGCTATAAAGAAGGCTGTTAGAATTTTGATGGGGATTGCATTGAATTTATAGATTGCTTTGAGTAGTACTGGCATCTTAATATTAAGTCTTCTAATACATGAATGTGGAATGTCCTTCATTTATTTATCTATTTTTGATTAATGTTTGCTTGAGAAGAGTCTTGAATATACCATGAACTGCCAAGAAAACAGATAGATCTGTCTTGGAGAGGACAGAACCAAGTTTCTCCTTGAAGGATAGGATTTTGAAGCTCCATCTCACATACTTTGGGCACGTGGCCAAGAGGAATCAGTCCTTGGAGAAGGACATCATGCTTGGAAGGGTGGAGTGACAGCGTAGGAGAGGAAGACCCTGGATGACATGGATTGATACAGTAACTGGGACAACTGGGTTAGGTGTCAGAATCACACTGGTTCAGGCTAGGGCAGGCTTCAGAGCTGTTGTATATCAGGTTCCTATACAGACCACTCGATTGCACATTAATAATAACAACAACATGTATGAATATTTTACTTTCCTGGTTAAGTTTGTCACTATGTATTTTATTCTTTTAGATGATATTATAAATAGTCATTCTTCCTTAATTTTTCTCATCTGCTTGTTCATTATTGATGCGTGTTGACTTTGTAAGGCTGCCATCCTGCTGAATTCATTTGTTAGTACTAATAACTCTGTGAGGGGAGTTCTGTGATATAGAGGCTAAGGACTTGTTCCGCCAAAACATAGGCAAGAGGTTTCAGTGCACCAGCTACTCAGAAGGAGAAAAATGGACAATCTCGTCTCCTGTGAGTTGGCCTTTCAAAACTCAAGTGGAGGGTCAGCTATGTGTCAGTTCTGAGTTGGTGGCGACTAGTACAGTAATAGTTAATAGCTCTGGGCATTCTTTGGAGATCTATGATGTTGTCTGAGAAAAGGGATAATTTTACTTCTTCCTTCCTAATGTACTATTGTAATGTGCCACTTGGTCAGAACCAACTCATAGCTGACCCTCCAGCAGGTTTTCAGAGACTGTAAATCACACAGGAAGAAGATTGTGGGTGGATTGAAAATGTGTGCCTTTGGGTTGGCGGTTCAGTTCCTTACCACTTGGCTCCTAGAGCTCCCTCCTTCATAATACAGATGCCTTTTAGTTATCAATTCCCTGCCCCCAAGATGAATTGCTACAGCTAGAACTTCTAGAACAGTGCCGAACATCAGTGGGGAGAGTGGGCATCCTAATGTAATGTCTTATTATTGATCATAATGAAAATTCTTTTTTCCATTGAGTGTATTGTCAGCTATGGGTTTTCATAAATTCCTTTTGGATTATTGAGGATTTTTCCTTCTGTTTCTGTCTTGTTGAATGTTTTTATTATGAAAGAGTACTGAATTTTGTCAAATGCCTTTTCTGTAGTCAATGGGATATCTTGTGGTTCTTTTCTTTATTAATGTAGTTAGTTGAATTGTTGGACCACTCTTGCTTTTCTGGGATAAATCCCACTTGATAATGGTGCTGGTGCTGGTGGTGGTGATAGATGAGGTGCCATCAACTCAGCTACAACTCATACTGACTTAAGGGCAATTGATTAGAACCTAACCCTCCCCTGTGCCATCTTCACAATTTCTGATATATATGTGAGCCCATTGTTACAGCCGCTGTGTCAGTCCATCGTGTTGAAGTTCTTCCTCTCTTTGACCCTGTACCTTTCCCAGCATGATATCTTTTTCCAAAGGCTGGTCCTTCCTGACATCACAGCCAAACTCCATGAGATGAGGTTTCACAATCCTTGACTCTAAGAAGCATCCTGTGTACTCTTCCTTCCAGACAGGCTTGTTTGTTCTTTTGGCAGTCTGTGGGATATTTGGTACTCTTCTCCAGCATGACAACTCAAAAGCATTGATTCTTTTTTTTTTTTTTTAAATTTTATTATTTGTGTGTACCGTCAAATCGGATCTGACTAGTACAGGAGGAGATTGTCCCTCCTTCTCCAGCAGAGCATCTGGTGGATTCGAATCGCGTTCCTCTGGGATTGCAGTGTAGCTTCTTGCCACTAGGCCACCAGAGCTCCCTTCAAAAGCATTGATTCTTCTGTCATCCTTACTTATTGCCTAACTTTCAGATGCATAGTAAGTAATGTGTGCAATTTAGTCTATAAATCGATGTCTTTGCACTTTAACACTTCGGGGAGATCCTTGACAGCAGATTTTCCCAATGTACCACGTCTTTTGATTTCCTGATTGTTGTTACCATGAGTGTTTATTGTAGATCCATGTAAAATGAAATTGTTGACAGCTTCAGACTTTTCTCTGTCACAATGTTACTTTTTGGTCCAATGATGGGCCATTTTGTTCTCTTGATGATGAGATGTAATCCATATTAGTTGTTGATCTTTTGCAGCAGGTATTTCAAGTCCTCTTCACTTTCAGCAAGCAAGTTTAGATTCTTAATAGGGGCACATAACCACCAGTCACAAAGCCAGGGAAGGCAGTCTTGCAGCACTTTTTGCCCCCCTAAATTCGGAAAGCTTTTTTGTTTTGGTTTGGTTTTGCCTAAGCCTTCATGTTTTTAAAACTCTGATCTTCTTTTACAATTTTGAAAAAAATGTATACTCCAAGTGCATGCTTTCCTTTAATTGCTGATGATGGTTGACACTTAAACTAGTCCCAGCATCTATAAAGGTCACATCTTTATTCTAAGGAGAAAGAGCAGATTCAGAACTCAGATGTCCTTAAACTGTCAGATCTCTCTGTGACTTTTGCTTTTTGGAAAGGCCATATCCCCATATATCACCACCCAATTACAACTGCCTTTCACAGGGTCCCGTTTGTTGCTTTATGTTTAGTGTCTTGAAATCCATCATTTACTAGTTTTGTCCATTTATTTTTTCACTTGAAAAGGAATATAAATCTCACCCTTGTTACTCTGTTTTGACTAGAAGTCCTTTGTTTACGGTATTGTTTTAGAGGAGGGAGGCTCACTTAGAGAAGGAAGTGGGTAGAGTCCACCTGAATTGCCTGAATATTACATACTAGGTGAGAGAGAGAATGGATGTTGGGAAGCCCTAGCCTAGAATCTTGTGTTATTCAACCTAATTTCCTTTAGATTCATCATGTTGCTGAATGTTTCACTTATTATTTATCATATTTATAGCATTGTGAAATACTCCATTGTGTAAATGAGAAATTATTTCTTTAAGCATTTATCTATTGATTGACCCTTGGGTCATTTCCATCTCTTTGAAATTTTAAATAATGTTGCAGTAAATATGGATAAACATCTATTAGTTTGTGTTGCATCTCATTTATAAAAGTAAGATTTAATTAAGTGACTTTACATGTGTTGATTACTATAGCTCTATAAAACCTATACACATGTACAAGAAGTATAAAGAAAAGCAAGGAAAATAAAATAAATTTGTATTCTGAGTGATGATGTGTTTTATATTCCATTTGTTAAGTTAATAGAAAGTTAAACCAGTAAACATAAATAAGCATAAGGATTTGGTGGGACTTAAAATTAAAGCTGTCTTTTTCCATCTCAGCAGAGGAAGCCATCCTGAGTCTGGAGCCCTGGACCCTGACCCCACAAGCACCTTTGCTGGCCTCAGAAGAATTTAAACCTGTGGGGCTCACAAAGGCTGTCCTGTCAGCCCACACACAAAAAGAAGAGCAGAATTATGTTGATAAATTCCGAGAAAAGATCCTGTCTTCACCCTACAGCACCTATCTTCAGGAAAGCCGAAGCAAAGCAAAACATTCATTTGTTCAAGGTAGTTAATGCTTTTAAAATGTCCTGTCTAACTAGCTATCAGTTTTGAAGATCTCACCTAAGTACCAAGAGGTAAGCAACAAAGAATGGGGATTTTCCTTATTAGAAGTAGTTTGAAAGATGTGGAAATAAACATAGCAACAGCTTTTATATAGACTCAGGGTCATCATTTTAGAGCTACTTTTTGCCAACCCTGTAGTAAGCTTGGTTACTCTTGGTGTAATGTTTATTCCTTTGTGAGCTGTTTATAATAATTTGAAGTTGTGTTAACTGATTTGTGGCCTTCCTTTGTGTATCAGAATAGAACTGTGCTCTGTAGGATTTTGCATGGATGCTCTCCCTCTCATTTTATACTGGTTTACTTACAAAGTTTATATACATTGTTTTTTCACACCAGATCTTTCTCTTTTCCTTTATCCACCCCTCCCTCCACCCATCAAATTGTGCAGCCCTATGATTGAGCTCCCCTCTCCTTGTGTCCTCATACTCATTCTACAATAATGGACTTAGACATTATTCGTCTTTATGAGACTGAGTTCACTTAGCATAATGCTCTCCATTCCCTCCCATGTTAGGTAGTAATTTACAAAATCATTGCTCCTGTGTGCTGCATAGTATTTCCTGTGTGAATGTACTATAATCTCTCAATCTGTTCCATTGTGGTTGGGCATTTAGGCTGTTTTCATGTTCTTGCTTTGGTGAATAATGCTGCTATGAACATTGGTGTACAAGTTTCTGTTTGTACCTTAGTTCTCATTTTTCTCAGGGTATGTTCCAAGCTGGGCCATATGGAATTTCTATGTTCAGCTTTTTGAGGAAGCACCAAACTGACTTCCAGAGTGTTTGTACCATTTTACAATTGCACCAACAATGTATAGGAGTTCCTATCTTGCCACATTCTCTCCAGCATTTATTATTTGCTGCCCTGCTAAACTTTGCCACTGCTGCTGGAGTGAGATGGCATTTCATTGTGGTTTTGATTTGCATCTCTCTTATTGCCAATAATTTAGAGCATTGTGTGATGTGTCTGTTGACCATCTGAATGTCCTCCTCTGTGAAAAGTCTTTCAGTGTCTCTTGTCTATTTTGTAATTGGGTTATCAGTCTTTTTCTTCTGGAGGCCCAAAAGTATTCTTTAAACTTTCATTATGAGTCTGTTGTCTGAGATGGTATTGCCAAATGTTTTTTTCCCCAGTCTGTAGGGGTTTTTTTCCACCCTATTGGAAAAAGTTTTTGATGAGCACAGAGATTTAATCTTTAGAAGGTCCCATTCATCAATTTTATCCTTTTCGGAGTATGCATTTCTGGCTGTATTTGGCAGTCCCTTTGTACCGTAGCCTAGGCCTTCTAAGCTTGATCTCAGGTTGTCTCTTATGGACTTTATGGTTCTGGGCTTTATTGCCAGGTTTCAGATCTGCCTCAAGTTAATTTATTTGTATAGTGTGAGATGTGGATCCTGTTTCCACTTTCTTCAGATAACAGTCCAGTTTTGCCAGCACCATTTGTTGAAGAGGTTGTTATTTCCCTATTTGATAGGTTTTATTCCCTTGTTGATTATCAGTTGACTGTACATAGATGGGTCCATTTTTGAGTTCTCAATTCTGTTCCATTGGTCTCTGTGCCTGTCATTGTACCAGTACCATACTGTTGTGGTTTCTACTGCGTGTAGTAGGTTTTGAGGTCAGGGAGTGCTATGCCTCCCACTTCATTTTTGTTTTTCAAATGTGCTTTGCTTATTTGGGTTTTCTTTCCTCTCCAAATAAACTTAGCATGTTCCCTTTTGATCTCTTTGAAAAATGAGTTTGGTATCTATGTTGGGATTGTGTTGAACATGGAGATTGCTTTTGGTAAGATTGTCATTTTCACAATATTGAGTCTTCCTGTCCATGATTAGGGAATATTTTTCCATTTATTTAGGTCTTTTATTGTGTCTCACAAAAATGTTCTGTAGTTTTCTTCATATAGGTCTTCTGTGTCTCTAGTTAGGTTCACTCCCACATATCTCAATTTGTGATTGGCTATTGTAAATGGCATTGCTTTCTTGATTTCCTTCTCTGAGTTCTCTTTGTTACTGTAGAGGAATCCTACTTATTTTTGGATATTGATCTTGTATCCTGTCACTCTACTAACTTGATCTATTAGTTTTAACTGCATGGATGTTCTCTTGAAAGAGTACCATTTTTCCAAGGCACTTCTAGATGGACTTGAACTACCAGCCTTTCAGTTATCAGCTGAGCATGTTAACTGTTTACCCCATACAGAGCCTGAATCTGTTTTTGTAACTTGCCTACATCGTTATCCTTTCAGGAGATTCCACTTCCAATCAGACAAAATTAGCCGGTTACAAGAAAGGGAAGCACAAACGGAAAAAACTGCCCGTGCCAGTAGACAGCAACCATTCTGCTGACCACATCTGTCCTCGCTTCAGAGAAGGAGTGCAGGACACGCAGCTCTGGAACTCTGCCAGACCCTCCCCACCAAATGTCCCTAGCCCAGCTTTCCCATCCACAATGCTGATCCCTAGCCAGACCCCTTACCTCGTGCCTGCATGTCCGCTTCCAGCTGTCGCCTCTCTGGAAGGAGTGTGTGCAGCATCAGGAACTGCACTGCCTTGTCTGCCTAGGCTCCCAACACCAGGTGGCCTGACGCCTGTCCCAGTGTTTCCTGCTCCTTACTTGGACACTTTCATGACTGTTTTCCTAAATGACCCTCCTGCCTATCCCCTATTATTACCATCATTCCCGCCTTATTCATTCCTGGAAGCAGCAGGTTCTGTTGAAACAACAGTGGCTCCTGGCCCAGAACCAACATCATCAGCCACCAACCAAAGGAAGACAGAGGACAGATGGGAGACACGCAGTGAGGATCATCCCTTCATTACTTCCCAGAGCAGCTCCCCTCTGCAGCTAGACCTGCTTCAGGAGGAAATGCCCACGACTTCTGAGTCTCTCCATCAGATGAAAAGGGACCTTTGCTCAGAAGCTGAGTGTGTAAGTGATGCTGACTTCTACCCCATGAATGAGAACATAAATTCAGGTCCTTGTTGTACATTTGAGGTCTTCCCATTGGGTAGAACACTGTGTTTCAGTGGGTAATCTACCCATTGGCTGACTGTAGATGTAAACTCTGTTTTTAGATTAAACATGGCAAATAACTCCCTGATTACACCTTAAAAGAAACAATTTTAAAACTATGTTATGTCCTGATTTCTTAGCACAGCCTTACTTTCCTTTCTTAGAGTTTCTGTGACAAAATGTCACTGGTGACTTTAAAGAACAGAATGCCTTTTCTCACAGTTTGGGAGACTCTAAGTCTTAAATTCAAGGTGCTTGTACTTGGGAAAGGCTTATCTTTCTCTGTCAACTCTGGGGAAGGATTCTTGGCTCTTTCAACCCTAATGCCCTCAGTTCCTTGGAAATCTATTCATGAGTCTGTCTTTCCCATTTGTTTTTCCCTCTGTGTCTAACCTGCTTGTTAAATAACTCAGAAGTCGTTAGATTTAGGACCCACTGACACGTACAGGGAGCTCTGGTGGTTCAGTGAGTAAGCGAGCTGTGTTGCTAACTCAAAGGCATGCAGCTGGAATCCATCAGATGCTCCTCAGGAGAGAGATGGATGGTTTCCTCCCGTGTGATTTACAGTCTCTTAAAACCCGATGGAGGGTCAGCTATGAGTCAGTTCTGACTCGGCAGCAATGAGTTGAGTTAAATTTTGCACCTATAAGGAGCTTCGAGCTAAAGTGTGTCAGAGATGATGAGAATGGCACCATATAGGACAAGGTTCAGGTCTGTATTTCATTAAGGTCACTATGAGCCATACTCAGCTTGGTGGTAAACAACACCAATAACAATGGAGCTTTGGTGGCCTCATCCTTAAGCAGTTGCACTGTTGACCCAAAGGCTGAACCTCTCTAGCTGTTCGAATCCACCAGTGATTCTACAGAGGAAAGAAGGGCAGCCTCCTCGTGTATGATTTACCACCTCTGAAAATCCACTGGAGGGTCAGCTACCAGTCAATTCAGACTCAGTGATAGTGAGTCATTGAGTGTACGCTGACTGGGCCTCATTAACATAAAGGGAATCCCTGTTCCCAGAGAATCCTGTCCATAGGGATAAGGAATAGGTTTCTAACACATCTATGTTCAATCCATAACAGATGCCTTGTTAGATTTCTCCAGAGCTGCTCTCTTTCAAGTTACCTATTTGAGCTGGGGTGCTTTTTAAAATTGCTTTAACATTTGATATCCATAGGATAACTTTCGTATTACCTGTAACTTATGCTTAGAGCGCTCTGGCCGTACGGTCCATAGGGAGTTGGGCTGCTAGCCACAAGCTGACACCTCTCTGGTGTTTGAATCCCTCAGTGGCTCCCTGGGGAATAAATGGCAGTCCCCTCCCATGTGATATACGCCATCAAAAAATCTGCTCACTGAAGGGCCAACTGAGTCAGTTCTGATTCAACAACAATTCTGATTCAAATGAATAATTCTGAGTTAAACTTTGGTTGCTTAGTTAGGACTGAGGTAATGGTCTGGTAATGGTCTGGTATGTGGGAAGATTGCACATTTCCTCCCATCATAGTGAGGATTCCCTGAGGCTCGGTGCTCGTTCCACTGGGTGAACCTCAGGTGTCATAACAGAAGGGAAAAGTCAGGCTTCAATTTCAGCTTTAGCGCTCAGAAGAGCGGGCAGTTTGTAGTCAGATGTGTCGTTGCCAAAAAGGAAAACATTTTGTTTATAGGATTCATGAACAATGTGGGTATTTACACAAAATTTTTCCCCTGACTTTTCCTTGAGGCCTAGAAAACACACACACACACACACACACACACACACACACACCCCAGATGTTCAAAATTTGATGATCCAAATCAGGAAAATATGCTCAATTTTGAAAGCCTTATGTTAGTATAGTTGTTTAAAAGCTTATTAATACAAAGTAATTATTTGCATGAATAAACTTAGGCTGTCAAATAAGATGTGAGTTTATATCCCAGCTCTGCTGCTTGTCAGGAGGGGCTGGCTTAGACATGTTACTTAACTTTTCTTTGTATTTGTTTCCTTATTAGAAAAATTAGATCAATGCTTCTTGACTTATCAAATAATGTTGGATGTTTTTGGAATAATACTCAGAACATAGACAGGATATAATAGGTCTCTGCTGAATGGATGACGAAAGAAAAGAAATAGATATCCCACACATGTGTAGTACTTGACACACTTGTAGATGCTCAGAAAAGAATAATCCCTTTGCTACTACATCCTAGGAGAGCTTGAGGATTTTCTTAGGGACAGGATGACTATTTCTTACTTTTCAGTTAATCTCTGTAAGTTTTACTCTGTTGAACATAATCATTTTTGATCTGTCATTTTGTAATATGCTTGAGAGGTTTAGATTAAACTGTTTTTACTTCTGTCTTTCCTTTATAGCAGCATGCTGCAGGCAGCAGTGAGTGTAAAAACAACTGTTCCACAGCCTGTGAAGTGTCCACTGGGTTACATCCCAAGGACTCCCCCCCTGGAATGGATTCTGCAGCATCAGGTAGGGGATCAGTATAGCTAATTCGTTAAATCCTGTTTCCAGGAATCACTATAATAAAATAGACTCAGACTACCTGGTTTTGGCACTGATGTGAGAGTTGGAGTTTCCCCACCCTTCTTTTATAAGCTTTATTTAGGGTATGTTGTTGTTATGTGCTGTCAAGTCGTTTGCAACTCATAGCGACGCTATGTACAACAGCTCTGGACCCTGCTCTATCTCTGACACACACCTATCCCCACTACCTCAGTGACAGAATCAATCCGTCTCATCAAGGGTCTTCCTCTTTTGCGCTGACCTTCCCAAGCATGACATCCCTCTCCAAGGACTGATCCCACCTTGCAACAAGTCCACAGTATGTCAGACGGAGCTTCAGAATGCTTGCTTCCAAGGAACAGCCTGGCTTCACCCTCACCATGACGAACTTGTTTGTTCTCCTAGCAGTCCATAGTATATTCAAGACTCTTCTCCAGCAACCAAAGCTCAAAAGCATCAATTCTCCTTCTATCATACCTAGTCATTGTCCAGCTCTGTGATGCATAGCAAGTAATGGCAAAAAACCATGGCCTGTATCAGGTGCACCTTAGTCTCCAGACTGACATTGTTGCTCCTCAGTATCTTAGAGAGGTCTCTGACAGCCGACTTTCCTAGTGCAATTCATCTTTTAATTTCCTGGCTGCTGGTACCAAGAGTGTTGATTATAGAGCCAAGCAAACTGAAGCTGTCAACAATCTCAATCCCTTTACCATCTATCATGATGCTACCAGTCAGCCCAGTGGTGAGAATCTTTGTTTTCTTGATGTTGGGCTTCAATCCTTACTTTACGTTAAAAAATATTCTCCAGTTTTAGATGTACGAAGTGAAATGTCTGGCACAGTATAAATTAGTATAACCCTACACAATCACCAGGTAGAACATTTCTGTCTGGTAAAATTCCCTTGTGACCCTTGTCATCCATCCTCCTTGTCCTTGAAACCACTGGTTTGCTTTCTCTCACTTCAATTTTACTTTTCTTTTTTTATTATTAAATTTTATTAATTTTAATGAACATTTACAGAGATTTGGGGTTTTCATTCATTCATTGTTGCACTATTTTATCTACCCTCCTCCCCAGTTCGTTCTTCTCCCCCCCCCTTGAAAGTCTGTTTTAATTGTCCAATTGCCACAGTGCTTGTCAAAGCCAGTTCTGATTAATCTCCTTTGTCAGTGTGTCCTTTGCCATTCCCTATCACTCCTCC